TCTACCTCATAGACACACCCATGGGATGTACACCCCCTCCTCTCATCACTAATCCCTCCCGTTGTGGGATGTAAGAACAGTTTCTTTTCTCTAAGCTCTGTGCTTTCTGAGATGCTCCTTTAAAATATTTTGGATATACTGCCTTTGTCTTTCTCTATCTCATATCTTAGCTCTCATATTTTTTCCCCTTTTCCTCTGAGCTTGGGGAGAATTTCTGAAAAATAATTCTTAAGCCCCTTGGTAGCTCTCTATAGTTCTTTGATTTCTGCTTCCTTTCTATTTTCTTTTTCCTGTCTCTCCTTCGCTTCCATTGATCAGCACTACTCTCTTTCCACCAACATCATTTAGGTGCACTTGCCTAAGGATTTCTGGGCATTTGATTTGGGACTTTCCCGTGGGTGCTCTTGAAAATTCTGGGGGCAATCTTCCCAGTCTTCAGAAGGGTGTGGCTGCATGGTTGAGGTTGCTGGGAGACAGCAGCCAAGACAGCGAAGACAGAACTGAACGTGTAGTTCTTTTACCTGCAAGCATGCTTAATGGGATGGTTTGACACCAGCAGTGCTGAATCCTCTGGGCCCCTCTACTGCATCCTGGTCATCTAGAAGTTCATGAACTATACAATGTCTTTCACTGTGGCCGCCATCTGGTGATCCTGAGTCCTAGAGACTCTGACCTAGCGCCTTGACTAGGACATAGAGCTGCTTGGACTGCCCATGGAACCTCCAACCTTCAGACTTCAATACTGGGCTGTAGAGCCATTCTGTGATATCTCCTCTGGAAAGGAACCCAGTAATGCTCCCAAGTCGGTTGTGACAAGTACTGCAGGCAAAAATCAACCATAGGAAAGTCAGGTGGAACAAATCTCCATCCTCTTGAAGAAAGGATTTAAAATTAATCCACAATTTCAATGTGCTTTCCAAAGGTAGACCCGAGAGCCGGGGGATGAAAGATGGTAAGCAGAAGGTCAGACCAGTCCTTGGACAACATTGGTGATGAAAATCATTCAGATAGCTGAGGAAAAAGCAAATGCCTTTTATTGCTTCTTAACCCCACCCATGATGCCGGTAATGAAAACTTTGTAAAAATGAGCTCAGCATACTTTTTCCTTTGGTTAGAGATAAGGAGCACGATAATAGCTGAGGCCTCAGCAGGGCTGATACTTGGACAGCACCTTACTTTGGATTAGATTTCTTTTTCTAAATCCCTTAACACATTAAAATCTTCTCACTCTGCCTAAACACAGTTGTCCAGGGTCCTTTATAAAACTTCTCTTTCTTTCTAATACACAGATGAAATCTGACCTTTGCCCTCCTACTGTGCCAGGAGCCCCCCCAGTCTGCTGCAGCCACCTGAAGCCAACAGGGTCATTGCTCTCTGGGGCTTGTCTGCAGGAACTGTAATTCCTCCCTCGCTGTGGCCCATGGCTGCGCTTCCTCCCTAAGAATGTCTGGACTGTTTACTTGTTAGTATCTTGGGTAATTGCCGAGCTAAACAGAAAACTCAGCTGTCCTGAATCACTCAGGGAAGACTCTGGTGCTTAGAGCCCCACAATCACTTCCACAAATGAATCAGGAAGGAGGGGGAGGCTGATTACAGTGAAGAAGGGGACTCTTTAAACATACCGTCTCTAATAAGCACGTAGAAGAAAGGAAAGGGAAAACTGACAGTGGGGTGACACTGGCCTCTCAGTAGAACATAACATAGTTCTCTTGTTTGCGCAGGGACGAGAGGCCGTGATTGGCTTGCAGTAGGAGGGATTCTACTGAGCTGAAGGCCAGCTGCAGCGAGTGCATGCAGAGGCAGTGCAGGCACATTCCTAGTGGGAAGGCCACATAGTCATCAGGGTCCAAGTGCAAAGAAATAGGAACTTCAGCAGCCGAGCGAGACAGGTGCAGTGTCTGTAGGTGAAGGAACATCTGAATCTCCACACAGCTTCAAGGGGCTACCACTGGAATTTCACCCAGCTCAGAGAGCAAGATATTCTGTATTGCTAAAATACAAAAATGTCACACCACTCTCTGGGAAAAATGATTTCTTTGCTCTAAATTGCATTCTGTAATTTTTTTTCTCATTCCTCTCACACCACAGGCTGAGAAAAAAATTCATAGCTTCTTATTTACCTGTGAAACTATTTCCCATAGGAAGGGGTGTGCACGTGTACACACATGCATATGCCCAGGTGAAGGAGCTGATATGAAAACGATAAAGGAAAGATAATGGTAGGGAACTGAGAGAAGGGAAAGTGTGTCCACTGAGGGGTTTTTTCTTTAAATAATAGCTGATTTGTTGATGTCAAACATTGTGCTAAGGATGCAAATAAATTCTTGTATTTAGTCCTCGCATCAACCCAACGAGTTAGGCGTTATCCTTATGAAAAATGTGGAAACTGAAGCATCACAGCATAGACTCCAACACATGAGCCTTGGAACCAGCTCATTTCGCTTTCAAAATCAGGCTCTGCCATTTGTTGGCTGTGTAATTCTGGGTAAGTTACTAAATTCTCTCAATCTCAGTTGTTTTCTAATAAAAGGGAGATAGGATCTATCTCATAAGGTTGTTGTGAGGATTAAATGAGATATATAAAAATGCCAAAGCCAGAGTGTCAACAACTTAGGATATTAGATTTCCTCCTAGTTTTATGAATAAACATTCAAAATCAGTTCAGTTCACAAAAAACGATGTTTAAGTTAAAAAAAAAACCTGATTACGTGTTTGACTTGAATGAATTGGAAGGTTATAAAACTACACATATGGACCAGCTTTTGAAAATCTTGGCAGAGAATTAATGATTTTCAAACATTAGGATGCATTTTGATTTGGGTACTCTTCAGTTTGCAAGATGGCAAATTATCTCTTGATTAAAAAGATTTTCTAATCCTGAAGAGGACAGGCTCATCGGCTTGACTCTGCTACTTCTCTCCACCCACAACTTTGTGTGAGGGCAGGGGACAGAGAAGCCGAAACTGCTGAACCTGCCCCTCAGCCAGCTGGGCAGCCAACCCTTAGCCACAGTGAGCTTGATGTGCATATTCCAGGAGGAAGCAAGGTGACAGGTCCCTTCTCCAGTCCTGGAGAACCTGCAGCCAAGGCAGGCTAGTGTGAGGAGGAGACAGGGAAGCCACTAGAATAGGTCAAGACCAATCCAAAGGAAGTGGCCCCAGATGCTGAAGGGAGTCAGGACAACCTACTAGAAAGTGCATGTGTGCCCTGTACATGCCTGGATGGAATAAGGGAAAAAAATGTATCCTAGAACTTATCATAAAACTCTCCCTGAGGCCAGGGGCTGTGGCTTATGTCTGTAATCCCAGCACTTTGGGAGGCCCAGTCAGGAGGATCACTTTAGGCCAGGAGTTTGAGACAAGACTGGTCAACATAGCAAGACCCATCTCTACAGAAAATTTTTTAAAATTAGCTGTGTGTGGTGGTACACGTGTGTAGTCCCAGCTACTTGAGAGGCTGAGGCAGGAGGATGGCTTGAGCCCAGGAGCTGGAAGTTACAATGAGCTATGATGGTGCCACTGCACTCCAGCCCAAGTGACAGAGTGGGATCCCAACTGGAGAGGGAAAAAAAAAAGCTCTCCCTGAGGATCATTAAGGGTTATTAGGGGTTGAAAGAACAAAGTATCCTCTGACAAATGTATTGAAAGGAATGATTCATCAATGTAAATTTACACCCTTTTCAAAATCCCTTTATACTGGAATGTGGAGACCAATGGCCTGGTGCTTCCTTCTTGAAACCGGGCCCCTCCCGCATATGAAACAAACTTGGCAAATCGACCCTGAGTCTGAGCCTTCTGCCAAGGAAATACCAAGAGATTACCCACCCCGACACCCCCCCACACCTCCTAGGAGAGTGGGTCTACTCTGGAGTTGCTAGGATGGAGGAGGCAGGAGAAGAGGGTCAGTCCGTGAGCTCGGGGCACCTGGAGAATATGACTGGTCACTTATTCCCCGTGTGTAGTGTCCCCTACGCACAGTTCCCAAGAAACCTATGGATCTTCAGTTCCCCACCCAAAATGTCTTCCCTCTGTCCCCAGTGCCCCCCCAAATTCCAGCACCAGGGGTCAGCTGAAAGCCACCCATCCTAAAAGGGCCACCCAGGTGACTCTGACCCTCTCTCTCGGCACACACCAGGCAGGGTGGGAGTAGTGGTGGTGGTGTATAACCAGATTCCTGGTGGACAGAGACCATCTTCATTATCAGCCACAGGCCAGAAGTACAAAGACTCACTGATCTTGACAATGTGCCCGCCTGGGGACATAGGGTGGCTGTGCCCAGGCAACAGGCGTCCTCCCCAGAATTGATGGGGATGGGGCACAGGTGGGACACCTGGTTTAACGGATTCTTTGCTTGATTCTGGGAAACACTTTCCTTGACTTGGGACCAGGTCTTGGCAGGTGGCCGATGAAGGTCGTAGGTCCTTTTACTGGCCGCATCCCAGTTCCGGGCCCCAGTGAGGCCGCTGGAGCCGCCCTCGGTGCAGGTGACCTGCGCCCAGGCAGCTCCGCTCCGCCGCCTAGAGCCTAGAAGCTGCCACTGCGCCCCGAGACGCTCACGCTCTGCCAACCCCGCACGCTGGAGTCCGCGGCCGCCCTGCGCGGGCAATCCGGGGGTGGTGTTTGAAGTCAGGCTCTTCCTGCCTTTTTCCTTGGCCCGGGTGCCAGGCTCGCGCTGCCGGGTTTGGGGATCCCGGGTCGCCCCGCCCCGCCGGCCGCGCCCTGCTGGTGCGCTCAGCGTCCCCGCCCCCAGCCCCAAACCCCCACCCCCTGTGCCCTTAGGGGGGCACCCCCATTGGGGCGGGAGGGGGTCAGCCGTGCCCTGGTCGCCGAGCGGCGGGGAGGTGACGGTAACCGCCTTCCTATTTCCGCCCGGCCGGCAGCGCTGCGGGTGCGTGCCAGCGGAGAGGTGCTCGGTCCTCCCTCCGCCCGCCCGCGCCGGGGGCCGGCCCTGCCTCGCCCGCGCCTTTTTCCCCCGCAGCGCGGCGTCGCTCCGCCACTCGGGCACCGCAGGTAGGGCAGGAGGCTGGAGCGCCTGCTGCCCGCTCGCCCGTAAAATGGTCACCTCGGCTGGACAGCTCGTCCTGTTGGCGCTGGGTACGTACGCCGCCTGCTGCGCGCCCCGCGCCCCCGGCTTTCCCCTGTCCCCTCCGTTTCTCTTTTCTGGGGTTTTCTGCTCCGGCCTAGGCGAGTGGAGGGAGGCTAATGCTTTTAATGGGTTGGTGGTGCCTGGAAGGGTTGGGGTAGTGGTGTTGGTGTATAAGGGGAGTCCCTAAGAATTCCAAAGAGGGGGACTGTGGAGCGCCCAGGCTTTCCCCGGAGAGTGGCTGCCTGGGCCGTTCGTGAGAACGCCTGGCAAGGGGAAGCGATGTGAGAACAGGCTTGAACTTTAATCTGCCGCGGCTGTGCGTCTGCATACACATGCCCATACCTACCTGCTTACCCGGCTGCCTCCCGGCCCGTCCTCACCGGCGTCGGTGGTGTGTAGATGAGCCGCCTCCGAGCGCGTGGCGGGCGTCCGACCCTCTGGCCGGGTCTTGCCTGCTTGCCTCTCCTACCCCTGCCTACCCCCGAGCCCGGCGTCGGACAGATGTTCACGATCAGCGGAGGCGCCCTCAATCTTCTAACTTTAAGATCTCTTAAGCGTTGGGTAGGTTTTGGATTTTTGTGCGGATTAATTGTTCTTTTAAGCAACTTCCCTGGGAGAAATAGTTTCAGTGACAGCGGAGGGCAGGAGTGAAACCCTAGAGCGTTGCCAGTTTCCTTCGAGTTTGTTCTTGGAAATGAACGAGGGATGGGGGGTGGGAGGGGAAGTTAAACCCCGCATAGCCAGGTCGGGTCTGCGGGGCGGGTGCGTTTTCTAAGACTGAAGTCCACAGTTCTGTGTGTAACTGATGAGGGGCGCAGTGCCACGCGCCGCCTGGCCTGCTGCTTGTCCCTCGTGTTGTAGGGTCTTTTTGGTGTTGAGGTGGCTGATTAACAGCTCAGGTGTCCCGGTTATTGCTGCAGCTTTCAGTGAAGTGAATTGTTCGGTCGGTATCTAGCGAGTTTAACCTTGTAGAGCGTGTTGCTCGCTACAGGGTCATTAGAGTCTGTGGAAAAGCATGGAACCCCTCCCCTAAAATGCCCAGAGCCGCAGCCTCACCCAGTTCCGCGTACGATTCCAGGGGGTTCGTGGACCCGCCAGCAATCCTGCCCTTGAAACGCGGATTAAGAACCACTGCTGAAGGAAAGGCACCTTCTAACCCTAAGGCAAATACAGGGCAGTCGTGGAAACGGATGCTCTCAGCTGCACCCCCACCTGAATCTCACCAACAGGTGACATGATTACTGGCAGCTTTTCTTGCCCCTCCTTTTTCCCAGCGCTAACTTTTTTGTGTATTTTGACGATGGTTTTGATTTCAAAATTTCTAAAAAAGCAATAAAACATTACCGAGACAATAGAAGCCTTCTGGATACGATTCTGTGTTGTAATGTTTTTGCAAACAATAGTAGTGAATAGTAATAATAGCTAACTAGGGATTTACTCTGTGTCAGGCAGAGTTCTAAAGTGCTTCATATTTATTAATTCATTTAGTCTTGACACCAACCTGATGAAGAAGGTATTATTATCATCCGCATTTTATAGAAGAGGAAAGTAAAACACACAGGGTCCAGTGTGTAAGTAGTTGGACCAGGAGTATTAAAGAGTATGGAAGAAGTGTGGATATGAAAAGACACTCAAATTGTGGTCAGTACAGTCCCATCTCCCAGGTTTGGGACTTTGCCTTAAGGCGAGATCATGTGGTATGCCATGGAGCTTGCTGTTAAATTGGATTTTCTCTCGAACTCCCAGGATCTCAAGGTGGTTATTCAGTGAAAAGTAGAGGCAGGAAATGATGACGGTAAGAAATTTGAGGAAATCTTTGAAAGCCGTCCCCAGTCCTCATCGTAGTATACTTGCCCATGAAGACTACATTCATTCATCGTGTGATTTTTCTCTTTTGCCTAGGAGTGTTCTCTTCAGCTTGATCTTTGTTTCTTAAAAAAAAAAAGGATAAATTTAAAGATTGATCAGTATGTAAAGCTGGCTGGCTCATACAGCTCCAAAAGGTAAGCAGTTGAAAAAAGAAGAGAAAAAAAAAAAAGGCAGGAGTAATTTACACCAGTGAGGAACTCCTTTTTATTTATATTTCTTTAAAAGAAAAATCGGAGCCGTTAGCTCTGTGCATTTAGTAGAACTGCTGCCTCCCACATGCATCCTTAATTTGCATGTTTCCTCCAAAGCTGCTTTCCTTTCTAATTTTTCTTAAGTAGTTGAAGGCAGTTCGAGGCAAATCAGCCAGTGTCCCATCGCTAACCAAGATCTAGAAAACCTTCATAGGAATTGTCTGAGAAGGAACTGACTGTTAAGAGTCTCAGCTGATGCTTGATTACTTGGAACCTGAGCAGTGATTAATGTTTTGAGTGAGAGAATGTGGAGACTGTTACCCAAATGGCAACACTGAAAACATAATCCAGGTTTTCGTGGTGGCTGCCCTCCCATGTCAGGTTTCCATCGCTGGCAGGCAGACCTCACAGGGGCTTGGCACTTCCAGTTGCACGTCCTCCTCTGTGTCCAGGGAGCAAGATGTGTAATTTTGGTGCCATGTCTTTCTCGTTGTAAAATGGGGAGATTAGTAGGGTTGTCGAATATGTTTAATATATGGGAATGGTGCCTGGCACAGAGTAAGAGCTTGGTTAATCTTGGTGCCATCATCATCATCATTGTTGTTACTTTGAGCCCCATGGAATTCCAGACATCATTGCAGATTATGTGGGTTCCATAACTGGGAGAATTTGTCCATTTTAATTTATCTCATCTTCCTGCTCTTCACCCTTCCTAAGCCAGAAAAATATCGTCCAACCTATACACCTACCTACGTGATTTCTGGTGAATTTGGCAGATTACGTATTCAAGCAAGTTTGAGAGTTCTTTTGGACATAATGAATTCTTTAACTTTTTATGCAAAGCATTTGTAACTCTTTTTAATATTCAATGATTATTTATTGAGGTCAGCACTAAGTTCCAGTTTTCTTGTCTGTAAAGTAGGAATAATAAAACTGTGCCCACCTCACAGGGTTATGAGAATCAAACGAGATGATTAATATGGAAGTGATTTATAAACTATGAAAATTCATGATATACAAAAAATAGACTTGATTTTATGATACAGAAATGGGTTTTATAATCCAGAGAGAAACTTTATTATTTTTATGACGACCCCCATAAGTGTGGACTGAATGTAGACCAAAAGAGGGATGCCCTAGGACAAGAGGTGGCATTAAGGATGGCAGAGGTGAAATAGGTCACCTTCCCTATGGAATTCGGGACTGAGGGACCAGGAGGAGGACTGAAGTAAGATGTTTCTTTTCTCCATTCCATGGAAATGATGTGTTTCAGAGCAGACAGTGGAGGTTTTCCTAGGACACATGTTTTCCATATTAGGCAGCCGTAATTAGTGTTCACTTAGAATGTGGGCTATAAAGGTGTATATGGAAGCCTTAGAGGCTAAGCTTCCCGTATTTGCTTTTCCAAAATTTGGTTTCCCCAGGATAAAGTGATCTTCCTGTAAATACTCAATGTCCCGTGCAAAGGGGACGTTTCTTACAAGAATAAGTGATGCTTTGTGTCACTGTTACTGTGGTAACACAAGAGAAACAGATGACTTTTCCATTAGACTTATCTAAGGACCTTTTCAAAGTGTGTTTTGAACAAGGTCCTACACTTTGCGCTGCCCACGAAAAGGGACAGGCAATGGGAATAGGTTGGTTCAACTAAAATGAAAATGACTTGCACACCCTGAATTGGGCCTCTTATGCTTGGTTTCACACTCAAAATCTCTGTAGAATCTTCTATAGCAGTCCTTAAACCAGAATCATTTGGAGAACTGGTTAAAACAGATTGCTGGGCCCTCCCCCCAGAGTTTCTGATTCAATAGGTGGGAGAGTTTGCGTATCTAACAAGTTTCCAGGTGTGGCATATGCTGCTGGTGGGGAGGAGGAACACTGCCAGAACCACTGCTCTTCATTCACTGTTAAGGCAACTTCTGGCTTAATGTCAGTATGTTCTGACATTTATAAATGCCACTGTGGATTTTTAAGCCCTTACTAAAGGCACTTCTAAGGCCTGTCTTGCTGACCAGGGCAGCTAGAACTCTTGCTGAGATATCTCAATTGTTGTCAGTGTCCTTGTACTTTACCCACGGAAAATGTAATGAACTTAAACTTACCAATACTAATTGTGTCATACTTTCCTTTTATTTGGATTGCCCAAAACTGACCATTGTTTTGCCGCCATTTCAAATCACTTAATTTTAAAATAAGAACCTAATTCTATGCTAAAGGACTAATATGTTTAAGGTTGCATCTAGATAGAGGAAGATTGGGGTATTTTTATGATGCCTTTTGGTTATGTTTATCTTTTTTTTTCCCCCTATGACATGTCAAGTATAAAAGTTTTTCACAGAATCAGGAAAGTCAGAAATCTAGACTACCGGAATCATCTCTTAGGAGTTCTTCATTTCAAATACAAGGCACATTCCCTTTATACCAGTTCTAAAATCTGGATAAATTCTTTTGCAGCATCATGAATTTATTATATTGAATATGACAAGAAATAGTTGTTACCTAGGCCTAGAAAAAGTTGGACGTTTATTGAGATGGAATTTTTGTGTTTTGCTAGTGCTTTGTCTTAAGTCAGAGGAAACATTTTTTTCACGTGGAGTCTCTGCTCTAGCCAAGTGAATTCTACGCTCAGCACTTTTGCCTGTTATTTTTTGTTGTCCCCTTACTATGAATGGCTTTCCGTTTTTCTTGCCTTAGTGTTTGCACTCATAAAGTACCTGTAGATGGTTAGGGTTTCCTCAAGAAGGAACTCCTTTGTGTAACAATCAGCCTGCTATTGCTTTGCTTTTTTTAGTTTTAATCTTCAAATGTATTGACTTTTCCAGCTGGGAACCCCAGTGGCAGAGAGCCCTGGCTCCTCGGTGTTCTGTCTTGGATTGAGACTTCGTTGGTGCTTGACTTCTGTCTGCCAGTTTGAGGGCTCCTTTGTTTTCCACTATTAGCACCTCTGA